TTTTCCCACCTTCACTGTTAACAAAACGCGGTGATTAAGACTTGAAACCAACAAAGAGTTTTTCTTCCACCTTAACCTTGCACACAATCCTTTAACAAATTAATTAATCCTAATGAATTAACACTTCATTTATTTAAACGCGCTACAGTTCATGAATTAAATTTTCATGCAGTGATTAAAGGCTGTTAAAATATGCATGATTTCGTTAAAATTTTATAATAAATCAGGGCAATGTGTTACATGACAAGGCAACTACTTCCCAGCCCCTCGGAAGGTGCTTTGATTCTCGCGGGGGGGCGGGGGGAGCCGAGCGCTCCTCTCCCCGTTTGGGCAGCCGAGCGGACCCTGGGGCGCGGTGAGACGCGCCTGGCGACCGACCCCTGCCCCCTCGGAGCGCTCTTCGTGCCTCTCCCGGGGGACGGAAAGCTGCCTTTTCCCGCTACCCCACCGAAACGTGGCATCCGTGCAGAGCGAGCGATCCTGGACAAGAGTGAAATCCAGCAGCTGGTTTGCCCAAGGAGCGGGGCTGCAAGGGAGCAGGGTCTGGGATGTTTTGCTGGAGGGGCTTCTCGGTGTGCTTTTTAATTCCTCCGCATCACTTGAAAGAAAGAGCGAGAAACTTTACTACTAACAGGACTGTAGTGTTTTTCACCGGACCTCTCCCTAGCTGCTCCGGTCTCCTTCCTTTCCCGAAAGGGGACGTTGGGAACTACCTTGGGACTTAAATCACCATCAAGCATTTCAATTTTTAATATGACAACATTCTACACTTTGGCTGCAAAAGCAATTATTGCGGCTTGTACACTAGTAATTAGCAGGTCTTTGCTGATGCAAGGAAAGTTCCTCACTAGGACAAGGAAATACTTTTTGTGCATTCACCCAAAGCGTTGGTTGTTTTTTGTTGTGCGTTTTGGTTTTTTTTGTTTTTTTTTTGTTTGTTTGTTTTTTCTTCTGAAGGTTAATTTTGATCATTTAAAGGGAAAATAGCTTTTACTTTAAATGGGATATTGACTTTCTGTGAACTTCACCAAATAACACATGTACTGTAGGTTTTGCCTCAGTGCTGCCAGTGACACTCAGGGTAGGACAAATACTCGACTGCAAAGTGTAAAGCTAACATTTGCTGAAATGAAGATATCCAGAGGGTTTAGAGTGAGCGGTGAGATCCACATTAGCTATTTTTTTAAAGTCGGGATATATAGCAAACTATGATCAGACGTTAATAGTTAATATCATAAGCTTTAGTATATTCATCTTTGGGGAATCCTAAAAAGAGAAATCAAATACAATGGGTTACAGTAATTAATTTATAAATCGTTTCACTGTGGGAATAAGGGGTTACTTTATTGCTTTCTCGAGATAGGCAGTTCAGTCAATTAAGGAATTCTGCCTATTTCTTGCATTTGAAGCCGGAGAAAACTACGGGAGACAAGTAAATGTGTATATATATGTTCCTCCCTTGCTTTATTGAGCATCTCTGGCCATAAACGTAGGGTTACAGCATGCTCGTGTCGCCAATGAACTTGCTCCTCAAAGCCTGCGAGTTTATTGCCATCAGTATTCATGAGGGTGGGCGTACCCACGAGGAATAGAAACAACAGCGAACATTAAAATAAAATCTATTACCAGGCCCGCGCGATTCTGATCCTGGCTCAAGCCGTCTGTTCGGGGAGCTGGCAGTGTGTGGAGGGGAGAGGTGGGCCACCGGGGGATAGTGACACGGGGTGCAGGTCCCGGCGGGCCCCGGGGAGCCCCCTCGGGCAGCAGCCCCTACCTACACCCGGTGGGGCCAAGCAAGCAGCAGGGCAGCGGCGGCGCCGGGACCGGCTGCAGCACCTCAGTAGCGGGTCAGGCTGCAATTTTTAGCGCTGCTTTAAAAGTTAGCCTAAAGTTAGCGCTTTAGCTCTTGAGGGAAAAAAAAAAAAAAAAAAAAAAAAAAAAAGTCGCAAAGATCGAGAAGAAGAGTTTTTCCTCCGGGACTTGATAGGTGACAGACCAAATGTTGCTCCACAAAAACCCCTCTTGTCCTTCTCCCCTCTCCTGAAAGATCAGACAGAGGGAAGACTTGGCTGCAACTCCCTAAGGAGGCGTCTGCCTCGGGGAGGCAGCGGGGAGCAGGAGGGGGCGGGGGGTCGGCAGCAGCCCCCCCAGGAGCCGGCAGCAGCCCGCCTCCTCCCCGGGGTCGGGAGGCTTCGCTCCCCCGCACGCCGTCACCCCGGTGCCTCGGGCGGCCGCCACCCGGGCGGCTTCAGTGAAGAAGCGAGGAGCCCCTGACAGGAGGTGTGTCACCAGCCGGGCGGGACTGCTTCCCCCGAGGAGAATCCAGTAGGATGTATAACGCAAGCTGTGCATCCCCAGATGTGCCCACCCCCATCCCAGGGTTCAGAAGACATCTCGGAGGTGGGACCCTTAGAACTCCTAAAGGTCCTCACCTCCTCACCCTCCGGCTAGAGCTGGGGGTGGAGGTGACAGAAAGGCTGAATTATCTGCCTTTATGGCCTTAAAAAATAAGCCAGTGAAGAGAAGGAGTCGTTTTAAAAGTACTGATGGGGGCAGATGTTCCTCCAGCCAAGGAGAAGGTCTCGCCCAGCAGCGCCTGCCACAGGCGTATGTTCCCCATTCCTCTGGTGGCTGCCTGCCCTGCCTGCCCTCGCTGCCCCGACCCAGCCCCTGCCAGCCCAGAAGTCAAAGACCCGGCCGCAGAGGCAAAGCAAGTGCCCGGTGGTATGTGGGCAGGAAGGCAGGTCACCGCTTAGCCTAGAAAGCCTCCGCTCGGCCGCCTTTGCCACCACTTGCACCATTTTCCCTTCTCTCAGCGTTTTCCTTCGGGAAACCTGATGAACTTGATCTGACAGCATCCTGGAGAGTGGGGTTCGCGCAGAGGCATCCTGATAAGCACCCATGCATCCCAAGGAACAGCATCCCTCGCGTTCCTCCACGGGACAAGGACGTGATCCCGGTAATCTGCCTCCCTGCCCCGCCGGGCTCAGCCCAGGGGCACCGCGGCTCTGGGCTGGATCTCGCCATGGTCGCGAACGGCAGCCTGCTGGGCTCGGGCCTTGCTCCTGGAGCTGGGCGCTTTTCAGCAAGGGCGTTTTTTTGGCGAAAAAAACGAGGTGTTCCCCACTTCCTTGCTCCCAATCCCTTTCCCAGGAGGGTTTTCCTTTACAATGGATGGTAGCTGAGAAGTGGCTAGAATAACTCATGGCCAAAAAAAAAAAAAAAAAAAAAAAAAAAAAAAGTCAATAAATACACATAAAGTATTATTTGTATGATTTGTGGATTCTGATACAATGATTTCGATAAATAAGGAGAGCCCAATCCCAGTTTCAAGTTCACCCCCTTCAGAGATGAAGTTGCATTTCGCTACCCCAGGGGACACGGTAATGGATGGAGACCTGGCTCCCTCTCGCACAAGTAATTGGCAGACGTTCCCTCCTTCCTCCTGGACTGGCTAGGGATCTAGGGAAAGGCTTATGAAGACAAATGTGTCTTCACTTGGGGTTGTGGTGTGTGCTGTTGTGTGCGCGTGTGTGTTTTCCTGCGTGACCTTTCTGCTATGTTTATGCGCATAAATAAAAGGCGCTCAGGAGAAGCGAAACAATTCCGATGCACTCCCTGGCTGTCACATCCCAGATCCAAACACCCCGCTGCCTGCTTGCCTGCAGCCCTGCTGAAAAAAAGCAAGGCAGCATCTGATCTGTCATAGGGACGGCTCCAGCGTGCCCCAAGGGACAGACAGGATTCACCTTGGGCCGCTCGCTAAGGATTCGTACTCATCTCACAGGCGCAGTAGCAGATTGGCTCCTTCCGTAGTTTTGCCTCCGTCTTCATAAACAACTACGAGAAAAAATAGAATCTCCTCTAAAATGGGACAGAAATCCCGAAACACTCATAATACTAACAGGGTGACTCCTCAACTGTTTGATTCAAAGGCAAGAGCATTCAAAGGATAAACCACAGAAAAGGGAGGGAAAGAAGAGTAAGAAACAGAGAAGAGAGAAAGAGAGAACTGCTTCAGGCCAAGCCAGTGCCCCTTGGGTTTTCCCAGGGAGCAGGAGTTGGGGCTGGGCGGCAGGAGGAGATGCAGTCTCACCTCCGCGGCGCTGCCCGCGCAGCGCGCACACGGACGCCCCGCGTGGGCGCAGCGGCTGTCACCCGCGGCGCCTGGCACAGCAATAGGTGCAATAAAACTACACGGGGTGGGGGAAAATTAAATTACAGGGAAAACAATAGCATCTGAGTGGTTCAAACAAATATCTGCCGCCGCCCGTCTTCTCCAAGAGCCGGTGTACAATTCGCGGCAGCAGCGGGGAGCGGCCGGAGGGCGCCCCTTTCTTTGGAAGAGCTCCGCTGCGCGGAGGGGCAGAGCACCTTTGTGCTTCAGTGCCGAGGGCCGGGCCGCTTCCCTGCGCCGCTCCGACGGCAGGGAAGGGGCGCCCAGCCCCGCACCCCGCCCATCCCCGCCCCACCGGGGCGCCCCGGGCCGCGCTGGTGGCCGCGCAGCGCGCACGTGTGGCAGCCACAGGTGCCGCAGCCGCCCGGTGCTCGGTGCCGCTCGCTATAAGAGTGGCCCCGCCGCCGCCGCCCCGGTGAGACGGGCGAGGGCTGCGGGAGATGCAACAAGGCGCGGGGAGGCAAGGACCGGGGGCGGCGGGAGGAAAAGGAGGAGGAGGAGGAGGAAGGGGGGGAGACAGCTGATGTCTGTCAAAGCCGGAGCCGCCGCGCTCTCGCGAGAGCCCGCCCGGCGGTAGCCACGGGATGCGGGGCTCAGGTGCGGGCAGAGCGCAGCGCAGCGCGCCCGGCGCCGGGCAGCGGCAGGCAGAGAACTGACAGAGGGAGGGAGGGAGCGAGGGAGACGGCGGGGGCCGGAGGGAGCCTTGCCACCCGCTCGCCTACCCAGCCCAGCCTCGGCCACCGCGGCAGCGGCGGCGGCGGGGGCAGGGTCCGCTGCGGCACCGCCGCCACCACCGGCTCCGCCACCGCCACCCGCCGCTGTCAGCGGCTTCCCCCGGCGGGAGGAGAGAGCCCGGAGAGCACTTTTCTCCCGACTTTAGGAGTGTTTGTGGATTTACATGCCAAGCCTTCAAGATGATGTCCATGAACAGCAAACAGCCTCATTTTGCCATGCATCCCACCCTACCTGAGCACAAATACCCCTCTCTACACTCCAGCTCGGAAGCAATAAGAAGAGCATGTCTACCAACTCCACCGGTAAGGGACAGACAGCTGCAGCTCTCTTCTTTCTTTCTCTCCCTTACAAGCACGCACTTTTTTCTTTCTTTCTCTCTCTCTCTCTCTCTCTCTCTCTCTCTCTCTTTCTGTATACTGCATGTATGTGTATGTGCATTAATAAAAAAACCGCTGCGAGGCACATTTTGACAAGCGGCGCTTAATGTTTTTTTCATGTCTTCCTCTGCAATCATCTGAGCGCCTGTGATCTTTTTTGAAAGCGGTGTTCACACGAGTCTCCGACTTCATCCACTTTCTGTATTAATTTTTATGACTCGGCCTCTGAAAAGGAATGCGTTTTATGTGCTCTTGTGTTTGACACAATTCCCCAGCTGAGAGTTACAGATCCATTTCTTCTCCTCCTTTCTCTTCTCCTTTCGTTCCAATTCCCCCCCTTTTAATTTATTAATTTATTTGTTCCCTTCATTCCTTCCTTCTCTCCTTATCCGATTCCCTCTTGCTTCCTTACCTTTCTACTCTTTGCTTCTTTTCCTGTTTTGCTCCTTCTTCTCGCTTCTTCCCCCTCCCATCCCCCCATTATTCTACCCCATCCCCCTGGTTCCCCTCATTTCCCCGGGCTGTCGCCTGCGGTACCACGCTTCCCCCAATCTCTTGGCTCTTCTCCCCGATCCCGTACTCCCTTACACGCTGATCCTACTGCCGGCTCCCCGGCCGTCACCCTAACTTTGCCCACCTCTCTCTCCCCTCCCTCGACTTCCCCCCTCCTTTTCCACGGCGCTCCCGCAACCCCACGCTGTCCCCCGCCCGTCCCCTTGCCCCTCCGCACTTTGCCCCCTCTCTGCCCCCTTGCCCTCCTCTCCCCGCACCCCGCTCTGTTTTGTGTCTCCTGCAGCTGCAGAGCAATATCTTCGCCAGCCTCGATGAGACCCTACTGGCGCGGGCCGAGGCTCTGGCCGCCGTCGACATCGCCGTCTCGCAGGGCAAGAGCCACCCGTTCAAGCCCGACGCCACGTACCACACCATGAACAGTGTGCCCTGCACCTCCACCTCCACCGTGCCCCTGGCGCACCACCACCACCACCACCACCACCATCACCAGGCGCTGGAGCCCGGCGACCTCCTGGACCACATCACCTCCCCCTCCCTCGCGCTCATGCCCGGCGGAGGCGGCGGCGGAGGCGGCGGCGGTCCACTTCGGCCCACCCGCACTCGCACATGCACGGCCTGGGCCACCTCTCGCACCCGGCCGCCATGAACATGCCGTCGGGGCTGCCGCACCCGGGGCTGGTGGCCGCGCACCACGGCGCCGCGGGGCAGGTGGCCTCGGCGGCGGCGGTGGTAGGGGCGGCCGGCCTGGCCTCCATCTGCGACTCGGACACGGACCCGCGAGAGCTGGAGGCCTTCGCCGAGCGCTTCAAGCAGCGCCGCATCAAGCTGGGGGTGACACAGGCCGACGTGGGCTCGGCGCTGGCCAACCTGAAGATCCCGGGGGTGGGCTCCCTCAGCCAGAGCACCATCTGCCGCTTCGAGTCCCTCACCCTGTCCCACAACAACATGATCGCACTCAAGCCCATCCTGCAGGCCTGGCTGGAGGAGGCCGAGGGCGCCCAGAGGGAAAAAATGAACAAGCCCGAGCTCTTCAATGGGGGCGAGAAGAAGCGCAAGCGGACTTCCATCGCCGCCCCGGAGAAGCGCTCGCTGGAGGCGTACTTCGCCGTCCAGCCCCGGCCCTCCTCCGAGAAGATCGCCGCCATCGCCGAGAAATTGGACCTCAAAAAGAACGTGGTGCGGGTTTGGTTTTGCAACCAGAGACAGAAGCAGAAACGGATGAAATTTTCCGCCACCTACTAGGGGCGGGCGGGAGGGGCGGCCCCGGCATCGGGGGCACCGGGGGGGCCGGGCCGGGGCCGCGGGGGACGCCCACGCACCGCCACCGTCGCCTGAGACGCCGCGGGAGGCTCCTGGGGACCAAGGGACGATGTAGAAATTAAACGCGAACTACTCGGGGAGAGGGGGGTCGTGCGTGTGGGGGGGTGCGCTATCAATTATTAAAACAAAAAAGACACCGGGACACCAACGAGAAGAAGGAGGAGAGAGGAGGTAAAAACGCTCTAGAAGCCCGGGGGGGGTCACTTCTGCGGCCCTCTCCCCTCTCTGCCCCCCAGCCCCCCGACAGAAAGCGGGAGAAAGAGCAACTTACAGCGTAAACACACACAGACACACACACCAATAAATACCGTGACAGCAACAGCCACAAACCGAGAAACCTAAGTCACAACTTTCCGAAGGAAAACAAAACCGACTAACAAACCCGGAAGGCGAAACTGTTGGTGATGATGATGCTACGTTTGGTTTGGGTCTCTTTTCATTACTTTCTGCTTTTTTTTTTTTTTTTTTCTTTTCCCTGGCTTAGTAATGAATGAAGACAGCGGTGGTTTGGTGCGGGGAACTTTTTCTTTAGTTGGCTTGGGTTTGGGTTTTTTGTTTGTTTGTTTTAGTCTTTATTTTTCTTTGTTTTGTTTTGGGGTTTTTTTCCTGTTGTTTTTTATTTTCCTTCGAACGCGGTTTTGCGCGAGGCTTTGGCGATGGGTCTTGTCTGTGCCGGGGGAACGGTGAGAGCGGGGCAAGGGCCGGGAGAGGGGCAGCGGCTCCCCGAGGCTAGGGAGCAGTCCCTTTCCTTTCCATTGTTGCCTCAATAATCCTAGCTAGCTCAAGGAAAACAAGGGGGGAAAAAAGTTACTCCACAACCCCTTTGTCTCTCCTCCCTCGCCCGCGTGGTTTGCGTTTCCAGCTGTGTCCAAAGACGGGTCCCTCTCTCTGCAGAGATGCATCTGGAGGCAGATGCCAAACCTGCCAGAGCGGGGATGCTCTCCAAAAGATTATGTTCAGACTCATGAAGTCTCATGGTTAACTATGTTCTTTCTCCTCCCTCCCTCCCTCTCCGCTGCTCCCAACCGTATGCCCCCCGGCATCCCCACAAAATCTGCTGGATTTAGGCTAAGGTCCCCCCTTGGTTTCCTCCAAGGGCTGGAGGTTATTGCACCCGGTAGGCAAAAGAAATCACCGGTGATGAGTTTGAAATGACATTTGTTTCTGAGGGATGTGCATGTTGGGAACAAACACACGACAAAAAAAAACCACTTGGGCTTAAAAGTCGTTTATTGTGTATCATAAACGTTATGTGGAGGAAGGCTTTTGGTAGGGGTGTGTGGGGTTCAATTTGCACTATCACAGTCTCCTGGATTGGAAGCGATGATGTTATTCTGTAATAACCATGCTGGTATGGCTAATAATCGTCAAGGTGCGTTACGTGCCTCACGGATTGAAAACAAACAAAATTATCAGGGCTTGTTAGGTAAAAAAGAGAGTGATGTGCAGAAGCCATCTCTGACTCTGTCTCTTGCCGAGAGACTGCTGAGGGTTTCGAATAAAAAAAAGAATTTCTGAAAAAAATACCATTTCTTTTAAATCAAAACAATCAATAGACTGAAATGATGCATGACATGATCTGAAAAAAAAAAAAAAGAATTTTAAAAAAAGGAAAAAATTAAAAAGAAAGGAAAAGAAAAGAGGGAGAAAAAGGCATAGAAAGATCCGTGATAAAGTCTCAATATTATTTATTTATTTATTTATTTATCTATTTATTTTATTATTATTATTATTTTGTGTATCATTGTTTGCAGCGCAAACATTCTATGCATTTTGAAACTGAGCACTAAATAGACTAGCTTCTGGTAGAATCTTTTGTGGATGGTGTAATTTCACAGTTTAACTGCCTGTTTTCACCGAAAACACAAACGTTCTTGTCACGTTCTTGTATTTAGATTTAAAAGAGGGGGGGAAAAAAGAAAAAAAAAAAAGATAAGAAAGACGATTGTAAATATTTTCTTTAATGCACAAAACAACAACAACAACAACAACAAAGGTTACAAACTGCAATCACGTGTGGATCCTGAAATGTCTCACTGAATAATCTACCTGTCCATGTATGTTTGCTGAGCTTTCTCCTTGGTTGTGTCTTTACTCTATTTAATTTCTATCAGAAATATTTCTGTACGCCAAAATACAACAGGGAGATGTGTCCCAGCATACTTACAAATAAAACAAACGTAAAAACAGAATAGTTATTATTATCATTATTGGGTGCATTTAAAAAAAATAAAAATATTTCCACGGCTGGTAAATTCAAGGTATGGCCGTTAGACGATAAGACTAATTCTACCAAAAAGAAAATAGTGAGAGATGTATTTTTCTGCTAAATCCAGAAATCATTACTTTGAGATAGCTCTTATGTGAAAATCGGTGCTCTGAATAAAATTAACTATATATTAGCTGCGTGTGTTTCTTGAAGTTTATTCTATAACTGCAGAATATAAATCAAAGTAAAATTTTAAGAAGGACTTCTGAAGTATTTCTTTTCAGTGTGCTGGAAAGGATTATGCACCTACAAAATATGTATAAAGAAGAAAAGCTTGGGTGGTTTCAGGTTTATATGTTGTTCTGACTGGCCTAATTGCACTTAATTATGTAACAAGATACTTTATTTTTATTTTGGGTTAATAAATATGAAAATCCTAAACTGATCTCTCCTTATGTTGTGAATGCAATTGTTCATTAGGAACGTATAGGATGCCACCTACTGCTTCAAGTGATCAAAGAACCTCTTTCTATTTTCTGATGACCTGTGACTAGATCAGATGCCAAATGTAAAAAGTTACTTAATAGCTGGGATTATTTCTTCTGTAGACATATTTTAGCCAAATCTTTTTAGTTTTGCCGGTAAATCTGTGAACCAAGACACGTGATGTTCAGAAAAGAATAATACGTTTAAAAAAGCTGTGATTTTAAACAACTGTTGATGTTTAAAAATAAGCACTAAAGGTATTTTTAAAAAAAACCCATAGATCTCGTCCACCGGAAATTGACTTGTTTCTGTTGTTATTAACTTGAAATGTCATCAGAATTTTTAATAAATGCATTTGTAAAAATATTATTTTATAGAAAAGTATTACCGGATATCATTTTTTTGGAGAGTCAGGAATGAACAAATAAAAATAATTACAAATGTTGGGTTTTCTTTTTCATCTGCCCCAAATGATTGAAATGTTGAAAGCGATACCACATTTGTATCATTCAGTAATGACTGATGTATGTACTGAAAAGCTGAGGAGTTTGTTTTGTGATAAGTACAATCCTTATCGAGTACAAAGGGGGAAAAAAAGTATGCTAATAAAACAAATGGTGAAAATAAAAGCTTTGCAGAGTTTCCTATTTTTGATGGTAGGAAACTGTGCAAAACCAAAACGTCCCACTTTCTGTCAGATGAATCTGAATAGCTCATAAAACCACAAAATTCTCGTGAGGCCTTTTAAATAAATGCCTCGAAAGAAAGAAAGAAAGAAAGAAAGAAAGAAAGAAAGAAAGAAAGAGGAAGCTTTTTCTTTTCCTCCTTTGCGACCCCTTCGCACCTGAAGAAGGGTCGGTTTGGGAGAAAAGCAGTGGATGAATATATAGGTCAGCTGAATATATAGGTCCCAGAGATGAAGCCGGGCTGGTAAAACTGCAAGCAAGTCTCTTCGCATCGCAGCAAGATAGATAGGCAGGCGGCGGGTGGGTGGGTGCGTGGATGGATGAATGAAACCCAGGGCTCAAAAGTTAATTTAAAATAAGATGTCACATATAAATCTTTGAAGAAGCAGTCGCGGCAGAAAGAGCGCCTGCACCGGAGGGCCCCAGCTCCGCCGGCGGGCGGACGGGCAGCGCTGGGGGCAGGCAGCGCCCGCGGGCACAGGCGCGCACTTTCCGCCTTCCCTTCCGCACCAGCGAGGGCAGCGGCAGGCGGTGCGGGGCCCTCACCGCGCCTCCTGCTCCGCGGGGGCGGAGGCGCCGCGGGATGCTCGCCCTCCCCGCCGAGACCCTTTCCGCCTGCTGGTTTGAGAGGCAACTTTGAGGCGGACTCAGCGCCGTGTTCCCGCTGGCAGAGGGGCCAGGGAGCCCGGTCCCTGCACTGGTGCGGCTTCATGGCCGTGCCGCCAGCCAAGCCCTGCTCGGGAGCTCGCCGTGGCTGGTCGTCCAGGGACAGCTGCACATGCAAAATCTGCTTCCCAAATTGGAGTCACAGCCCCTCTGGGAAAGCAGACGTCCTCCTTTGAACTGCTTTTTAACTCCTTCAGCCTGCTTACCTAAGTGTACCAAAGCATCTCTAACTCTGGGGGAAAAGTGGTTAAACACTTTTTTTAGTTTTAATATAAAATTAAAATTTATCAGGCAGTCGGGGTAGGGGAAATTACTTTTAAAAAATGATGTCTTAAGACGTTAATCACTCTAAACGCAGTACTTAAAGTATGTAAAAGGTTTTATATAAAAATTAATAATTTTTTAAAAGACACTCGGCCCTGGTACGTTGAAGATAAATTGTAACTTCTCACTGATTTCCACAAGCGAGCCATAAAAGACTCCAAAGTGCCTCGCTGGGTGAGAATGCCGATCGACCCTGCCGCTCGCCCGGGCTGGAGCACGGGGCGGGTCCCGGTGCTGGGACAAACCGCCCCGAGCCCGGGTCCAGCAGCGAGAGCAGACAGAGGGCTCATACTGCAAACACCTGCGTGCGGAGAGGGCTTTTCATCCCTTGCCCGGGTGGAAGAAAGAAATTTAAAATTGTGAGGCAGAGCTAAAAGATGTAAGATCTGTGTGTATGCTTTTTGGTTTGATTTTCTTTTTTTGTTGTTGCTTTTTTTACTTTATTTTAAAAAGGATGTTCCTTGACAAGAAGATAGCATGTCAACATGAACACATCCTTTTACGGGCTGCGCGGAAAGGAGACGAGGCGCCAATATACATAACTTAGCCCT